ATTTTATTCAAAAACAAAATTAAAGATTGATTTAAACAATTAAAAATATATATTAATAAACCAAGAAAATATGTACACATTCTACTTATTGATTAAGATATATGAATTTGTTAATCAGCACACATCGCGAGCATTGAATACTAGTACGCAACGAAGCACGGACACTCGTAAGTTCAGGCGTGTCCGAGTCGACACGCGTGTCGGACACGGACACGCGTGGGACACGGGGCAAAACGTCTCGGACACTCCAAAAGCCGTGTCCGGTTTATTTTTGACGTTTTTGATTTTTGGACACGGGCCGTGTCACCCTTAGACACGGGCCGTTTTGGTATGACACGGGAAATAACCTAAAGTCTTGCTCTCTGCTTTGCCTCTCTGCCTCCCTGCCTATTTCCACTTCTCAATTTCTCATCTTCCTCTCTGCCTCACGCGAAATCAGTCATCACCATTGTCATCACTCAGTCACTGTCGTCGTTGCTCCACCCACCCACCACTCCACCGTTCGCATCAACACAGTCAGCTGTCGTCGTTGCTCCACGCTTGGTGTCACTCAGTCACTGTCGTCGCTGCCTCTGCCTCATTCAATTGCCGCTGTTCGTCCTCAGCCACCACCCACCACTCCACCGTTCTCATTGTCGTTGCTGACTTGCTGTCCCAGACTCCCAGGTATGGTTCTCAACGTTTTTTTTTTTTTAAAAATTCAATTAATTTTCTGCATTTCAGTTTCATGAATCATGTAATTAGAAATTTAGAAGTTGAAGCTGAAGGGTAATTGGATGTCTCGGACGAAATTTGTGGGTATCAAAGAAATTTTGGTTGAAATTGAAGAAATTTTGTAAGGGATTTTATAGTATAATAATAATAATTGAGTTTTTGGAATCTGGGTTTGGTGAGCATGTGCACAAGAATACCTCATACACTTCTTTCTAAATTTGTGAAAAGTTAGATTTTTTAATTTAATTAATTTTATTTAAATGTATCTTCTTTGAGATCAGTGGAATATTGCTTCTGGATTATTTTTTTCATTTGTGTTTATTAAATGTAGCATGTGGATCCTGGGGTTTTGAAGATGCAATGTTCACTATGTCTTGATTCCTATTGTTCTGGGATTTGTGTAATTATGTTTGCTTTTATACTTGGAGCTTTGATAGCATTTATCTCCTTCATATTTGGTTGATTAAAGAGTGTATTACCAACGTGAATGACGAGGCTTTATAATTGTGTTATTAAGCTTCTTTGATCTGGTTTTATTATATAAGAAAACTTTGATGCTTTGAGAGAAGTTTCTAATTTTAGTTTTGATTAGTGGTTCTATAAGTAGAAAATTCAGTTTCTGTGGTTCTTGTTGTTGCTAATTTTGCTGTGATGTGAATAATGTGTTTTGTTGGACTTGTTATGGTTAATCATGACTATCTTCATTGATATAAACTAGTGTATTTGGTTTGATGGTTTCTTGATATGTATGAGACTATGTCCGTACACTTAGTTCATTTACTTGTTTAATTAAAATTGTGTGTTTTGAGGCTAATTATTTAGTGTTTTATTGAATTAGTTGTCAAATTCTCGTTTTTTTAATATATTATATGACTTGTTATACGCCGTACCCGTGTCCCCTATTTCAGGATTGCCGTTTTCCCGTGTCCGTGTCGTGTCCGTGTCCGTGTCCGAGTCCGTTTCCGTGCTTCCTAGCTAGTACGAAGTATTAAATAAGGCTACTGCCCATAAACTTCATAATTTCATCAGTTTCCTCATTATGTACATATTGAAAATGTGACGAGGAACAACTAGAACCACTAAATAGTTAGAACTAACACTAATTACAAGGCTATACAGAGGCACCATAATAGTATATGAATTGAAAATTTTAGTGTTAAGACCAACTTAACCAAAAGTTTAAACTAATGGTTGAGGCCCAAAGATATGTTTTATACTCTATCACGCCCTATTACACGAGCACCATAGGCCCACCTCATACCATCGTTTAATTCCACTTTGAAAGGAGGGGTGGATGAAATTCAAACCTTTGACCTTTGAGTCGCGTTAATGATTGAGTTGGTCCTGTAATATGTTTTATTCTCTATCATTTAGTACTACTTCCAATTGCAATTAAAAGTAGTTATAAATACATAAAGTAATTTTCTTAAATAAGGAGCACATAGGCTATCCATCCAGTTGAGGAGAGAAGCAAGCTAATTTATTGAGGGACCTGCATCTGTAGGATCAGTTGCTAAAGTGATCGGAGATACTTACCAAACATAGACGTATATGTTCTGAAAGGGTAGAGGAGTCAATTCAAGTGTCCGGGTTGAATTGGGTCTAATTTTAAATTTGAGTCATGCTAAATCATCGTGTCCATACAAGTTAAAATTTAAATCGAATATTTATCAGATCGGCTTCAAATCGGATCGGTTATATCAGCTTTTGACACCTCTAGTTTCAAGGGTAACCAATTAACCACTGCACGATGCGAGGGTAACCAATTAACCAATGCACGATGCAAGGGTAGAAATTACTCCCTCTGTCCCTATTTTTTTGCCTCATTCGACTTTTCACGGTTTTCAAGACGCTTATTAAAACGTATATATCTTCATTTCCATGCACGTAAAAATTATAAAAACGTGATATCAATAAAATATATAATAAAACGAATCTAATAAAATCCCACATGACTATACTATCACTTATAGATTAAAGGTAATTAATGGTCAAAATTTATAAAGTTTGATCCAAAAAATGACAATGAGGCAAAAATAAAAGGAACGGAGGGAGCACCTCACTATATTACTTGGCAGTTGGCATTAGACGAAGGGAGTAGTTCACTACATTATCAAATTAAGGCCGTTTTCCGTTATTATTTTTCTTCAAATTAAGCATAATCCTCCAAACTGAAATCCAAAAAGCTCCCTACAAGTCTACAACACAAATAAGAATACAAAATCCCCAAAAGCCAAAATCTCTCTCTACGTCAATGGCAGCTACTAGAACCACCTCCTTTCCTTCAACTCTCACTCTTCTCTTCTTCCTCCTCTTACTCTTCGCTACTACTTCAATGGCAGTAAGATCATCAAGAAACCTACAAGCAGCTTCAAATCAGAAGCAGCAAACAAGAAATACCCAGAAAAATCAGATCCCAAATTGCGGCGAAATCGTCGACAATTCTCGCTGCAATTCCAATCCTAAATGTCGATGGTGTCGCAGCGATGTGCTTGATTCTATGTGTACTACTAAGCCTGAAGCTTGGCGTCTTCCTTTCCAGATCTTCACTTGCGATTGAGCTTATTACATATCATTTTCTCTCTCTTTTGACCTATTATTGACCGATTTATTGAAGGTCTTTTGGGGTTAAGGGATTGAAGTTTTTGTTTTAGGTTATCAATGTTGACATTATTTTGTGTTGTATGTAGATGTCAATTAGCTTATTTGATTAAAGTCTTAAAAGGGTGGTACCCGAGATCTTATTCTGCCAAGTGAATTATTCGGCAATTCAATGTGAAGATTTGTAATGAATTTGCATATTTTGTTGGTTGAATTAATGGATAAATATTGGATTATCTATGTAATTTTTGGCTGCATTAATATGGATCTGTTAAGGTTGAATCCAAAACCAATTGTGGGCAATTTGTTGATGTATACAGTTATTTTGGATTTAATTTAATTTTAGGAAGCTAGATATGGTTTACTAAATTAAGGATGGTGATGTAGGCATGACTTTTGCACTTTGTGACTTTACCCAAAAACAAAAATCTATTCATTAACTTGTTATCTAGAGATGGCACAAAGCAATGATAGGTAGCAATACTACAAATTTACATTAAGTGGAATTTGTTATATACACTGGGGTATATCATATACACAACTAATTTAAAGTTAATTTTTGCTCTTCATTTGATTATTAAATGAAAAACAATCATCAAAATTAAAATGTTTGTTGGTGTACGCTGCACCCGGGTGTATATAACAATCACTCACATTTTGCGTCTTTGTGTTGAAATCTTCGTTAATTTTATTGTACAATCAATTGTAACATGTACATTGTGCAATTAAAGCCATTTTTGAGTATTTAGTTGCTTATTTGTTGGATCTAACGAAGCAAAAACATAGAAAATTAGAGAGGTTATATATAACCCGTTGTACCATATTGTGCATAGGCAGCTACTCCAACTAACCATTTCTAATCTGCTAGCAACTTCATTTATACCACTTCTTATGCCTTTGCTAACTCAAAATCCTAGCCCTTGATAATGTTTATTGGCAGTAGGGCTGGCAATTCCTGATCCGACCCGATAACCCGACCTGCAGTTGTCGAGAGAAATTCGAACTCGACCCGACCTAAACCCGAACAACCCGAATTCGACCCGATTTAACCTAAATTTCATATTTCGTAATAATATTCAATTTTACACTATTTTTGTTTTTTTTATATAGTTTCTAAGCACAATCCGAAATCGACCTAAAATTTGACCCGAACCCGACCGGCTGACCCATATTGCCACCCCTAATTGGCAGTGCTAATTCATCTTCAATAGTTTCATATGGCACTCCTCCAATTCCCCAAATACTACTTCATTACATTCTTGAGCATCCTAAATTACACAAAATCAAACATAGACAGAATTCGATTTATAATCTTATGTAGAAATCCCTCTCAATGTTGAGGAAATTTCACGAACTTCATTATTGAATTCACACTGTTAAAAACTCTGTATGATTTACTTGTACTAATTTCATTTATGAAAATATTTCACAAATTTCATTTTCACAAAAGTAGTGTGCACATTGTATCATTAAAGATTATTATTAGCATAATTTACCGAATCATATCCTAACATAAATGATACTTAAAAAATCACTTTTTTATATCAATATGGAAAATATATTATAAATTATCACTTTTTTATATCAATATGGAAAATATATTATACAAATATATTTTCCGATATTGACTACATAGGAAATCTCCTATGTACAAACGGAGAACTAAATGGAGAACTAAATGCTACTGTACAAACTATTGAAACAAATCAAACGATACTCATTTGTGTGTGAGCATAGTTATGGTACCACTGAAGTTCTAAATATGAAGGAAGAGTTAGTCTTGATTCTCACTCTATCGTAAAAAGAAACTAAAGGAATAAAGGAAAAGTAAAATAATACAAAGCTAAAAATAATGGCTAAATATCATAAAAGCACATTCAAATAATAAAATGGTGGTAAAATAACAATGCAAAAAGAGTTAAAACTGTGATTTCATTTCTTGTTAAACTTCATTACATCTTCATCTTTAACATTGCTAATTGAACGAAATATGTTCAATGAAACTTAACCTAAAAATACCCAGATCAAATCTGAAAAACAAAGCACCAAAAAAAAAAAAAAAAAAAAAAACAAAACAAAAAACCCAACAAATTTTTCAATCCAATAAATCTTGTTGAAGATTATCATGAGCAAACAACTTGACAGCATCCCTGATATCCTTAACACCATCACAAGCATCGAAAAACCGAATCAATTTACTAAGCTCATTATCCTGTAAATCATCAATAAAAGGCTTAATTTGAATAGCATTTTCCGGCTGAAAAGAAAATGAATTCGGATTATCATCAATAATTGCAACTTTCCATAAATCTCTCCCCATTTGAGCCAAATCTTTAACATATTTTCCATCCAATTCTCTGCAAGAATCGCGGTATAGCCGATGATTAATTACCCTGTTTTTATCCAAGTTGTCGAGCACGAGCGAGGCGTACTCCCTTAATCCTGCTGTAAAAATCACAATCTCAAACTTCTTTGACAAAAAATCAAGAAACTCATCGACCCCGGGTCGTTTAATGACATAAAAATCCATCGTTTCGCCTTCGATTTTCGGGCGAACCACGAAATCGAAGGGTTTAGAAGGCAAATCAGCAGAAGAATGGATCAATGTTTCATCAAGATCAAGAAAAATGGTGGGTTTTTCAGGGTTTTCAGAAGGTGGAAGAGCAAAAAAACAGAGGTTTAGCGATTTTGGTTTCTGGGGTTTTTTCAGGGAGAAGAAAATCAAAATCAGCGTTTTTCTTGAGCTTTTTGAACCCTTGTTTCTTAGGACTGCGTTTTGGGGTGGCGATTTTGACGAGCTTTGAGAAGATTTTTACGAGGCGGCGGCGGCAGCTAAAGAATGATTCATTAATTGTGGCGATTACGACGGAGGAAGAGGGGGATTTCACCGGAGTTTTTTTCCGGCGAGAGTTTCTCCGGCAATCCTTGATTGATTTTGTTGGGGTTTTTTTTGATAATTCTTGACACCATTTTTGGAGAATTTGAGGTTTTTTTAGAGAGAGAATTATATGGGATAGAGAGAGAAAGAGGGGTTTGGGGATTATGAGGAGGACAGAGAAGAAACAGGGTGTTTTTTTAACGGTTAATGAGGATTTTAAAATTTTGAGATTTGAAATTTTTGTTTGGTTCGGGAAGTAACGGTCTTAAAAATGGTGGTTAGGGAAAATGATTTTGGTTCGGAAATTAAACGAACCTGGATTATGATATACGGAGTAGATAACTGCTGGATTTTGATTGCTAGAATGATTTGCCCGCTTTGATTGTGGGGATGAAAAGGAAAAGGAGCAAAAGATTTGGTTTCTTTTCCTTTTTTAAGGATTTGATATTTCTAAATGAGGTAAAAATATTTTAAATGTTAGGTTTGCAAATTTTGAGAATGATTAGATAAGGGATTTGGATATATGTATATGTTGTTTAGTTTGAAAAAGATTTGTGAGTTGGTAGTACACTTTTGTATTGAGGGTTCGATTTATGTGATAAGGTATGCCTGTGATTATCGATTTCGACAATAACTTTGAATAATAACAATTAAATCGTATTAATTAAGAAGATTTGATTTTGATAAAGAGAAATATTGTACTCGTAATTCATAGTATGTACATCGATCTTACTTCCAGCATGTTCGGCAAAATATAAGTTAGAGGTAGTTGTTAGCTGTGATACTAATTGTTAGCTGTCAACAAGTTGTTAATTGTGAAGATAGATAGTTAGAGTATGATTGTACGGTAAAGTAGTGGAGTATAAAAATCAATTATTTTTTCCTAAAATTATAGATTAAATTAGCTTAATTTCCGTACAATGCACAATTTTACCATATTTTATACAGATTTATAATTTTTTTTACAAATTATTCCTTCATAATAAGTGTGATAAAAGATATTTTCTAAATAGTAAATTTTAGGTTGTACCTAAAGATGGCTAGGCCGTGCCGAGTCATGCCTCGTGCGCAGGCCCACGTGCTTTGGGGTTAGTTAGGCCCGGTCCATGACTCAGCCCAGAAGTTTCGTGCCGTGCCATGCCTGGCCAAGTTTTCAAAAGGTTGGCCCGTGCATGGCCCAGGCCCACGTGCCATCGTGCTAGGCCGTGCCGGGCTTGCGTGCCTAAGCAAAATTGCATTCATTTTAGCATGCTTAGTTGTGCCGGGCCCGGTCATGCCATGCCATATCGTGCTTCTCCCAAATAAAAGCGGTCCACGGCCCATAAGCATAGTACCATGTCGTGCTTTTTTCGTGCCAATGTCGTTGCGTGCTTTTTTTGTGTTGGGTCATACCGGGCTTCGGGCCAGCCTGGCCGAGTGCCATTTTTAGTTGTACCTATATGATATATAATAGATAATAGGTTAATATTATCTTGTTAATATTCTGTAAATATATTTTTTGTGTAGAACACAAAATATTACCAAGATAATATTAACCTATTATCTATCAATACACAATATGAATTTCTTGTTAATACTTAAGCTGCTTAATTGATATTTGGGGGAAAGATTACATTATATTGAATTTTTTTTTTCCTCAATATAGGGTTGGGATCCAATGAGAAGTTTCTTAAAATGAGAAGAACGAGAAGAGTTAAATGTGCATATATATATAGGGATCCGGTAAGAACACCTCCTTATATAAGAACACTTCCTTATATAAGAATACCCTATGTTCTAAACTTCCTTATCCGGTCATGCACTGATGGGATTGCTCATGTGGATGATACTCTGCTTATTACAAGAATATCATATGCTTGTTGATTGCTCATGTGGATGAAATGAGCAAAGAAATACTTGTTGATTTAATGAATGATTAAAGAAATGTTTGCTCATTTGACAAATGAGCAACTAAGTTTTTGCTCATTTGTTAAATTAGCAACTAAGTATTTGCTCATTTGACAAATGAGCAACTAACTATTTGCTCATTTGCTAAATGAGTAAAAAATTGATTGCTCATTTCCCAAATGATCAAAAATTAGATTGCTCGTTTTCCAAATGATCAAATAAATATTTGCTTATTTTACAAATGAGTAACTAATTATTTGCTTATTTGACAAATGAGAAAACTAATGGTTGCAAATGGTTCAAAACCGGTGCGAAAACTGACTTTTCGCACTAGTTCTTACTGTGAACCGGTGCGAAAAAGTCCCCTAAAAAATAAAAAATAAAAATTTAGCACCGGTTCTTGCTGTAAACTGGTGCGAAAAGTCCTGGCGCGCCTTTTTTTTATATACTTTTCACACTGGTTCTTGCTGTGAACCGGTGCCAATACCTGCTTTTTTTTTTTTTTTTTGTTTTTTGGCAATAAATAATAATATTAATACTAATAATAATAATGAAAACCTGTACATCCTGCATTAATTCTACCATTATTATATATTATAATAACAATAACAATAATAATAATAATAATAATTATTATTATTATTATTATTATTATTATAAATAATACTAATAATTATAATAATAATAATAATTTCTAAATTGAAATAATAACAACAATACATAGATATTAATTAATAATCCCAAATACAATACAATGAAGTGTCATATTTACAATTCCTCAAAAAAAAAAAAGTGTCATATTTACAAACAATACTAATCAATAATGTAGTTAACAAGTTCAAATAGAAATGACATTTACAAATTAAATGTATGAAAGACGCCAACATGTCTCGAACTTCATTAAGTTCCTTGCTCGTCAACGGACCTCTCTTTTGTACCTTGCAAAACTTGGAATAAACAAAAAGTATGTTAGAATTAATTACTTGGGTTATGCATGTAAAAATACAATTACAAGTTCAGTTAGGCAAAAATTTATTACTTAGGCCTATATGACTACTACTTCACCTATTTTTTTACATTTCTTATCAAATCAACTCATTCTTTCTCATAACATGTCAATATTACTTAGTTATAGGTGGCTAAGGCTTGAAATCACATGAAAAGAGCAATTCAAGTGTTTAAGGACGCATTTTGATCCAAATGGCCCAAATAAAGCCTATATGACTACTAAGATGCATATTTCCTACATTTCTTGTCAAATCAACTCATTCTTTCTCATAACATGTCATTATTACTTAGTTATAGGTGGCTAAGGCTTGAAATCACATGAAAAGAGCAATTTAAGTGATTTATGACGCATTTTGATCCAAAATGGCCCAAATAAGGCCTATATGACTACTAGGATGCCTATTTCCTACATTTCTTGTCAAATCACATGTTAAGAGCAAATAAACTAAGTCAATGGCATACCTCATCAAGCTGTAGTGTGTCTGTACAACAACTCACTATGTCAAACATGAATCTCATCACTTATACGCCACAATCAACTCCGTTATCTTGTTGTGCGCATTAGCATAGGAACAAAGTACATGAATCAAACATGCATAGCAAATTAGAAACATCTTACACATTGCTTATTACGAAAATCACAATATCATGTGGCATTACCATTGGTGATTTCCATTAGGACCTTGAGGAGCTCGACAATTTATCTTCTTCATAACACTATAGAAAAGTAAGTTCAAATTTGATTAGTATGACTAATAAATGAGTTAGGAAATGATAATCAACACTAGGTTGCTATTTTTCTTTTACAATATGGACTTCACGAGGAGCTTTTTTAGATGAGGCAACCGAGCTGAATGAATCAAAAAGGAAGATTGTGTTACTGGAAACACAAATTACCAGCAGGGTCCAATGCAAACTACATAAATTCACAATAGACAAACAAATCAATAATTAGCCATGTACAACATACAATCAGGGGAAACAAATGAATTTGACATGGTTAGACGTACTCCTCATAGCATGGGGCGAATATGAACTTGTCTCCCGCACGCACTGATTCCTTGATACTCCGTTCAACATAGTACAACACGTCAGGGTGGTTGCCTAAGGTTCAAGTAGTGGAGATTTTCTCGGGGCATAACCACCCAACTTGACACGGAGAATCAATGTCACCTAAGTGCTCTTGTAGTGCTCTGCATGCATGATAATAGAATATTAATGGAAAAATAAACGACAATCACCACTAATCTAAATAACATAATTTGAGCGGCATTGAATTACCTCATGAATGTTTGAATGAGGGAAATGTTAAGCATTGAACCATTTAGAAATTCCTTCACATCTTCTTTGTTAAGCCATGCAATTGCATCGTTATCATAGTGGAACAATGCCTTAAGTAGTGCAACTTCAATGGGATTGTCACTAGGCAACATACTAACATGCAATTGGTTAGAAAAGAAATCCATCCAACTCTTGGGAAGACAATTGGGCATAGAGTAAAGAGTGAACCCAAAATCTTACCTAGTTGATCAACCTGACCCAAGCACATGGCCATTGCACAAAGCTACCTTTTTCCTCCCAAAGTGTAGTAATCCCATCCTTCTCTACGGCACCGGTACTAGGATTTCCTCGAACCCCGCAACCACAAAATTGATCCCAACAGAGTAATGTTGTGGCTTAAGCGGTCGCAAATGGACCGTACCTTGTTCGGCCGGTTGTGCACTAACATACGCAACCAAATGCAAAGCTCCACTGTTTGATAGCCCCGGGTGTAGAAGTGCACAACGGGTCTCTTCCTATACCAATTTGAAAGATCACTTATAAGAATCAAACATATCACAAGGGGTCTTTTCCTACACAATTGATAATGTAACGAAATTCACTACGCTATAACTAAACAAAATCACCTGTAAATCTGGAAATTCATGAGGTGCTGGACTCAAGCTCCCTCGAGTCTGCATGTGTAGGAATACCAACCAGCAAATGGAAATTAATAATGCTACCTTAGATCCCACGTAACTCAATATGCCAAAACTAAT